CAGGTCCGGCCCATTGCCCCCAACGCAGGTTAGTAGCTGCCCCTTTAATATCTGAGCTTCACGGGGACATTGAATGGAGGGCCCCCGACTGTTTGGGGGAACATTGGAGAGATGGCCCACCAGGCCTGGTGGGTGCTGTGGGCAAGACCAGAGGCTGGAGGTCAAGGACTAGACAGGATGGAGTCCTGGAGGGAGAGAGAGAAAGCCGCGACCTGAGAGGAGGCCCAGGAGTGCAGAGCGCCCCACAGAGGTGGCTGAAGGGAACGTGAGGATTTCAGTTCGTCTGGGGGCCCATTTCCGGTGATTTTTCTTCACCCTGTAGATGCCTACCCTCTCCCAAGCCCAAATGAAAGAATTACCCAATGGGAACACTCTCCTGGGCCCACCCACTCCTTTTCAGCCAGTCAGGATTCTTGTTCTCATCTCAATCTATTTTACCTCTTCTCCCGCCCCTCTCTCAATCCTTGGGCACCTACTGAGAGCCAGAGAGACAGAAATGGCCCCAAGTTCCCTTCCCTGAACCCTGTCACTGCCTGTTCACGATCAGGCACTCCCGCCGGGATCCCTGGCTGCTCCCCTGAGCTAAGGCTCCAGGGAGAGGCTGGGAGGAGCAGCCGGTCACGGCCACAGGGGAAGGCCCACAGGTCTCCTGGGGGTGAGCATAGCCTCCTCGCCAGCCTCACTCCACCTGCGTCTCCACACCTGCCGGGACATCCCCGCGTGTGCCCGCCAGTGCCTGGCAGCGGAGAGGGCGGTCAGAGGGGGTGAAGGGAGACGGGATCCCTCTCGGCCACTTGGCCTTGCGGGTCAGCACACCAGCAGGGCCTCCTGCCCTCACCAGTGGCCATGGGGAGCTCTGGTGGTCCTGGTTCTCACCCACCTGCCCTGACCACCTGGCGTCCTGGGTCCTGGGGAGGCCTTCCTCGGGGACCCAGCCTGACTTTCCTTCTGGCAGCGACAGGGCCACGGGAGCTGGCATGCCTGCACCCAGATAGCAGGGCACATCTGGGCAGAGCGGGCAGGAAGGCTGCGGGACGTGGGCAGTCCCTACCTGGATGCCAGGAGTGCCCGGGATTCCTGGGGAGCGAGTCCTCCCCTGGCCTGGCAGGTTCGGGAGCCTTGCACGTGAGCAACAGGAAATGACAGTGACTGATTGCAAGGGGCTGGCTGCCCCTGGGGGATAGGTTTCATCTGAACCCCTGACTCACCTGGCCCGGCCGCCTTGGGGAGTGAGCCAGTGGCAGCAAGGAGCACGTCCCTGACCAGGCCCGGGCCGGGGGCCGGCAGGGCTAGCCGGGGGCGGATGCTGGGAAGGAGGCCTCAGCCCATCTCCGGTCTCGCTGCCATCAGCTCGGGTTGCACTGTGCTCACGCCCCCGCAGAGGCTGCCGCCTCGGCCTTGCTGTGGCCAGACAGTGACACCTGGAGGCCCCACCCTCGCCCTGTCCCAAGGGCCCCCTCCCTGGGCCAGCTCAGGGAGAGCAGGGAGTAGGGTGAAGTGGGGGCCAAGGTCAGGGAGGCTGTGAGAACGCAGATCCCACCAGCTCTGCCCTCCTCCCAGTAAGACGGGGCCTGGCCAGCACCTGCTGAGGGCGGAGACCAGTCTCAGTGGTTATAAGCGTTAACAACTCGGGAACCTGAGTGCTGTGTCTAAATGCTCCATTCTTTACACTTCTTGTCCATTTGTTTTTAAATTTTTGAATAGGATATTTTAAATTTTAAGTTAATGTAAAAAATTAAATCTTCAAATGATGTTTGTGGCATTTATTCGTCATTATTATTCTTTTAGAGAGGGAGGGAAGGAGAGAGAGGAAGGGAGAGAGGAGCACCGATGTGAGAGAAACGATGAGGAGGGAGCATCACGGAGCGCTGCCTCCTGCACTCCCCCGGGCCGAGCCCTGACCAGGAATCAAACTGGTGACTTTTTGGTGCATCGGACAACACCCAACCAGCTGAGTCATGCGGCCAGAGCAAGGCAATTACTCTTCCAAAAGAATTCAGGCTTCACTCGGGCGAAGGCCTGGGAAGAGCCCGGCGCGGGCGTGGGGGACAGGCTGGGCGAGTGCGTGTGCTCGCGGGGCCCTGGCCTGGGGGCCCTGGCTCACCTGCGCTCCGGGAGGCTGGGGCTCTGCTCAGAGGAGGCTGAGCAGTGGCCGGAGGCGGAGCCTGGGAAGACGCCCTCCTGTCCCAGGCACTTGGGAGGCGCCTTCTGGAGCCACATGCCTGTGCTTGCCAGCGCTGGGCACCGGCGGAGCCAGGCAGCGGGACCCCCCACTGGGCAGGGGCGGGGAGGGGTTGCCCCAGCCAATCAGCATGTCTCCCACTGCCGCATGGAAAGGCCATTCTGTCCGGGCTGTTCCCGTGGCAACCAGCCTCCGCGTAGCCCTGTGAGTGCCAGTCCTGCCCCTGGCTTGTGTGGCAAGGATACCACCAGGGCCTGGCCTGGTCTCCCACCGAGGTGTGGGATGCAGCCTCCGTGGTCGGCCCTGCCAGGTAATGCTGGGAGGAGCACCCCAACTTGCCTGCTCCCCTGGAAGAGTGAGACAGCAGGGCGGGCGGGCAGACAGGGCGGGATAGGTACGCTCCAGGCCTGGGCCCCAGCAGGGACCCTCTCCCAGACACAGGGACTGTGAGCCAGAGCTCAGCTTCCGACAGTCTGTGTGGGAGCAGGATACCCCCCCCCCCCCCCGGGGCAGCTTCCAGGGGTAGGGAGGCCGGCCAGTTGCTTGCCAGTGGGAGCAGGCGGGGAAACGGATTCCGGAGCCCCTCTGGGACTGAGGCCAGAGGCATGGTTTGCCTCCAGCCCCAACTCTCCCCAGGGCTGCTCCCCAGCTGTCCCAGAGCGGCCCATCTGTCCCTCTGTCCCTCTGTCCCTGTCTGGGCTGTGCCTAGCTTGGCTGTAGCCCTTCGGCGCCATCGGCGGCCAGGAGAGGACAGGAGCTGGGCGCTGCCCGCAGAGAGCCAGCTCCCTGGGCTCGGCGTGGGGGAGGGAGCCGCCATGGCCGGAGGCAGGAAGCATGGGAGGGGCAGGTCGTATCTGATTGGCAGCTCCGGGTCCTGGAGCCCAGCTCCTGAGACCCGGAGTTTCTTTGACTGTGAATTATTGATGGCGTTCTCATCAATAGTGAAACAGCCCGGCTGGACTGGGCCCCGGCCGGCCCCAGGCCCAGCCCCCGGGCCTGTCTGTTCCTCCCCAGCCCCCTCAGCTCTCACACTCTTCCTCTCTGCACCCGGAAAGAGAAGTCGGTGCGAGGAAAGTGCGTGGTTTCCCAGCCCTGAGTGAGGTCTCCCTCAGCCCCGCCCAGAAGGGGCGACGATGGTGCCGGCGGTGGGAGCACGCGGGCCAGCGTGTGCGCAGCTGGGTGCGGCCGGTGGGAGAAAGGAGACGACAGGGTGGCCGATTGGTCAGAGGCAGCCTGGGCTGGAAACTGCTGAACGTTTTGTTCGGGGCCCTGCGAACATGGCCATCTGTGGGTGTCCCCTGCACTGGCCCAAGCCTGGCATGGACCGAGCTTCTAGTGCCCTCTGCCAGCTCCTCTCTGCCCTGGTGGGCTGAGCTACAGGCCTGGCACGCTGCAGGCTGCCTCCTGAGCAACCGATTGTTGCTGCTGCCTCCTCAGCAACTGACCCCCAGGAGTGGGTGCGGGTCACAGGGAGCTGCAGGAACCTGAGTGCTCAAGGCTGAGGTCAGAAACCGCCGCAACCGGGAGGGACCCCGCCCTGCCTTAACTTATTCCGGGACAGGCTGCCTGCGGGGGCGGGGCAGCAGGGAGATAATAGCTGTCCCTGCCATCCTCACTGACCTCAGGACAGCCCTGTTACACTCCCTTCACAGGTGAGAACCCTGGGGCTCGGAGGGTGAAATGACAAGGGCAGACTCCCAGCTAGTCCACCACAGGGCAGGCCAGAGCCAGAGCCTGCACACACTGCTCTGAGGGTCCCAGTGGCTCTCCCTGCCCCACGTGCCCCCGATGGCCCTCAGGAAAGGGGCCCGGCCCTACCTGCTGCTCTCTCAAAGCCTCTGTGCCCTCGCTCCACTGTAGATAAAGCCTGCGCTCTGGGGATGCGGAAGGGACTCTGGGGTCCAGAGGGAGCCTACGATTGTTTGATGGCAGGGGTGAATCAAGGTCATCTGTAAAGAGCACTGGGCTGGGAAGCTGCAAGGCCTGGATTCCCATCCTGGCTCTGCTGGTCTGTGTTCCTTCACCGGATCTCCCCGAGCGCTGGGCAGCACCGTGCGCCTCCTGCAGTGCAGGGTGTCAGCTCTAGGGGCACGTGCTCCTCCCCAGGAGCAGCTGGGCATGGCCCTGGCAGGACTCCTGGAGGCCACGGTGCCCTGATCCACTTAGAGCAGGAGACTCAGCTCAGGCAGCCGGTGTCAGGGAAGGGCTGGGGTGGAGCATGGGGACCAAGGTCAAGCCCCCTCCCGGCCACCTGCCCACTCCTCCCCTCCCCCACCCCCTGTGGCTCCTCTCGCGAGCTGCTTTTCATCACCAGGAATCTGATCCAAGGATCCTCTGGTCTTTCCGGCTCAGCAGACTAATTCCAGACTCCCACTCACTCGCCCCATGAGTCAGACAGGAGGGGGATGGTCCTAACTCTTGCACTGTCCAGGTCCTCGGGTCCCAAGGGCGAGGAGCCCAGGAGGAGGGATGGGGCCTGCTGGGTTGTGTGTGTGGTTGGAGGCTGTGGGGAGAGGGCAGTTCCTGCTGGCATGCTGGCGTTGTGAGGGGGCACTCTGGGACGCCAGGAGGTGCTGAGACTGACTGCCCTGGTGGTTCACCGAAGCCAGTCCCTCTGTGCCCTCCCTGAAGGTGAATGGCTGAGTGTGTGCAGGCCATGTTGCTCAGTGGCAGGCCAGCCTCTGTGATCCAGGGTTCAGAGGTGGAGGGTGGGGGAGCAGGAATGCTGGGAGCCGGCCCCCGGCAGGGCCCTCTGACGATCTGCCCTTGTCTTCCAGCCCATGAGGCTCCCGGGCCCCACTGAGCACAGCCCTGAAGGATGTCCCAGCTCTCCTCCACGCTGAAGCGCTACACGGACTCCGCCCGCTACGCAGACACCCCTTACGCCAAGGCAGGCTATGGCTCCTACACTCCCGCCTCCTACGGTGCCACCCTGGCTGCCTCCTTCCTGGAGAAGGAGAAGCGGGCTTTCAAGCCGGGCCCCCCAGCCAGCTTCCTGGCCCGGCCCAGCACCTATGGCCCTTCCTCCATCCTGGACTACGACAGGGGCCGCCCCCTGCTGCGGTCAGACGTCCTGGGGGCCGGTAAGAGGGCAGAGAGCCAGGCGCGAGGCCTCGAGCGGCCGGCAGGGAGCGGCCTCAGCGGGGGCAGCGGATTCCCGTATGGAGTGACCAGCAGCTCCCTCGGCTACCTGCCCATGAGTGCCCGCAGCCAGGGGCTGCCCCTGACGCAGAAGAAGTCCAGCAGTCAGCTCGACCTGGCCAGGGACTTCTCCAGCCTTCGGGCCTCGGAGAGCTACCGCCTGGACCCCGGGCCCCTGGGCCGCAGCCCCGGGCTGGCCCGCACCCGCCGGGAGCTGTGCGCCCTGCAGGGCCTCTACCAGGCGGCCAGCCGCTCGGAGTACCTGGCCGACTACCTGGAGAACTACGGGCGCAAGGGCGGCACCCCTCAGCTGCCTGCCCAGGCCCCTCCCTCGCGAGCCCCTGAAGTCCTCAGCCCCACCTTCCGACCCAGCGGCCGGTACACTCTGTGGGAGAAGGGGAAAGGCCTGGCCCCTGGACCCAGCCGCAGCAGCTCCCCAGGGCGGGACACCATGGTGAGTTGGCCCCTGGGGCCCCAGGGAGGTTAGGGGAGGGGCCCCTTCTGGGGGAGAGCCAGGCTGCAGGAAAGATTTCCTCTAATGACGATCCAGGCAGAGGGCTTCTCCCCAAGCCTCCTGGCCAGCCGCCGCTCCCGCCTCCCTGGTGGGGGCCAGCCAAGCAGGGCCGGTGCCCCGATGGCTCCGGGCCTGCTCCGAGGCTTCTCGTTTCCCCGGGAAACCCACTGAGGACCTGGGCACATGAGGACAGTCCAGCAGTGCTCCCAGCAGTACTCAGAGACCCCCACACACCCCACAGTTCTTACCCGCAGGCCCGGCCCCCTCCTGTGCGGTGCTGAGGCCCCAGGCCACCTGGTCTCTCATGTCTGGGCTCTCCCAGCCCGGACGCCGCTTAGCAGGTGGGCCTGGTCACTGGGTGAGGGGTTCTCCACTGATGGACACCAGCTGGCTCAGGGCCAGGCACCTGGACAGACGTCCATCTCCTGTGTCTTCAGAGACATTTTTGTCTCTGGCTTTAGACAAGCTAATGCCTCTGATCCCACCCTCCCTGGCCCGGCGAGGACAGGGCTCTCCTGGAGACTGAGTGAGGGCTGGCAGCGTCTCCCTCGCATCTAATCCCTGAACCCCCCTCCTTGGGGCACAGACTTCGCTCAGTCTTGTCTGTGGCCATTGGTAACCTATTAAGTGGCAAGTGCTCTGGGGATGAGAAAGAAATGATGTCTCTAGACCCCTCAGCATGTCCCTAGAGCAGCACACAACTCAGCTGATTGCATGGATAGAGGGAGAGGGAGTGGATGAATGGACAGGTGGATGGATGGGTGGGTGGGTGGATGGATGGGTGGGTGGGTGAGTGGATGGATGGCTAGATGGGTGTGTGGATAGGTGTATGGATGAATGGGATGGATGGATGGATGAATGGGTGGATGGGTGGTTGGATAGGAAGGAAAGAAGGAAGGAAGGAAGGAAGGAAGGAAGGAAGGAAGGAAGGAAGGAAGGAAGGAAGGAAGGAAGATGGGTGGAGGGGTGGGTGGGTGGATGAATGGATGGGTGGATGGGTGGGTGGGTGGATGAATGGATGGGTGGAAGGATGGATGGATGGGTGGGTGGATGGATGGGTGGATGGGTGGATGGATGGGTGGATGGGTGGGTGTGTGGATGGATGGATGGAATGGATGGATAGGTGGGTAGGTGGAAGGAAAGGAAAGGAAAGGAAAGGAAAGGAAAGGAAAGGAAAGGAAAGGAAAGGAAAGGAAAGGAAAGGAAAGGAAGGAAAGAAGGAAGGAAGGTGTATGGATAGATGGATGGGTGGGTGGATGGATGGCTAGATGGGTGTGTGGATAGGTGTATGGATGAATGGGATGGATGGATGGATGAATGGGTGGATGGGTGGGTGGATAGGAAGGAAGGAAGGAAGGAAGGAAGGAAGGAAGGAAGGAAGGAAGGAAGGAAGGAAGGAAGATGAATAGATGGGTGGGTGGGTGGATGGATGGATAGATGGATGGATGGGTGGATGGGTGGATGGATGGATGGATGGATGGATAGATGGGTGGGTGGGTGGATGAATGGATGGGTGGAGGGATGGGTAGATGGGTGGGTGGATGGATGGATGGATGGGTGGGTGTGTGGATGGATGGATGGATGAATGGATGGATGGATGGATGGATAGGTGGAAAGAAGGAAAGGAAAGGAAAGGAAAGGAAAGGAAAGGAAAGGAAAGGAAAGGAAAGGAAAGGAAAGGAAAGGAAAGGAAAGGAAAGGAGGAAGGAAGGTGTATGGATAGATGGATGGGTGGGTGGATGGATGGATGGATGGATAGGTGGGTGGATAGGAAGGAAGGAAGGAAGGAGTATGGATAGATGGGTGGGTGGGTGGGTGGATAGGAAAGAAGGCAGGAAGATGGATAGATGGGTGGATGGATGGATAGGTGGGAAGGAAGGAAGGAAGGAAGGAAGGAAGGAAGGAAGGAAGGAAGGAAGGAAGGAAGGAAGGAAGGAAGATGGATAGATGGGTGGGTGGGTGGGTGGGTGAGTGGGTGGATGGATGGATGGATGGATGGATAGATGGGTGGGTGGGTAGATGAATGGATGGGTGGAGGGATGGGTAGATGGGTGGGTGGATGGATGAGTGGATGGATGGGTGGGTGTGTGGATGGATGGATGGATGGATGGATGGATGAATGGATGGATGGGTAGATGGATGGATGGATAGGAAGGAAGGAAGGAAGGAAGGAAGGAAGGAAGGAAGGAAGGAAGGAAGGAAGGAAGGAAGGAAAGAAAGAAGGAGTATGGATAGATGGGTGGATGGGTGGGTGTGTGGATGGATGGGGAGGATGAATGGGTAGATGGATGGGTAGGTGGGTGGGTGGGTGGGTGGGTGGATGGGTAGATGGGTGGATGGATGGATGGATGGATGGGGAGGATGAATGGGTAGATGGATGGGTGGGGGGGGTGGATGAGTGGATGGATGGATGGATGCATAGATGGATGGGTGGGTGGGTGGATGGATGGGTAGATGGGTGGATGGATGGGTAGATGGGTGGATGGATGGATGGATGGATGGATGAATAGATGGATAGATGGGTGGATGGATGGATGGATGGATGGGGAGGATGAATGGGTAGATGGATGGGTGGGTGGGTGGATGAGTGGATGGATGGATGCATAGATGGATGGGTGGATGGGTAGGTGGATGGTGAACAGATGGACAGGCTGGCATAAGGAAGGAGAGTTATCATAGGTGTTGTGACTCCTTTATGTGCTCGGCCCACACTCCTAGGACACATGCCTTCTTTTACACTGTCGCTGTGTCACAGTGAGAAATGCTGAAGTTGTTTTAAAATCTGACCCTCTGCCTCGGTCCTACCCCCGGTTAGAACTTTCTGCCGGGTTGTTTGGTTCATTAGGTGGGACACCACAGTCCTGTCCCCACCAAAATGAAGTGCTTAGGGTTTGGGGTTTTTTTAGTGATGAGAAGAGACTTCTGTCATGTTGGTTTCTAGTGTACAAAATTCTGTCTGCTATGTTCTGTGTTTTTCTATTTTTTTATTAACTTAAGGAAAGTTGTCAGTAAAGCCTTTGTCAGGGGGTGAGTTTTTTAAAAAGATTGCTTCAAGTTCAAAAACCAAAAGAGAAAGCTGCTGAGCGGGCTTGTCAGATAAATGGAACGGAGTGCAGCTCAGGGCGGGGCCTCGGGCCGCAGACCCCGCAGCGTGGAAGCACCAGGGTCCGGAGGACAACTTTGCTAACTGACTGGAGTCTTGGCCCCGGGGCGTCTGAGGGCCAAGGGAGACCCAGGAGCCGGTGCGGCGGGCGGTGCGGCGGCGGGCTGGGTGGAGGAGTGGGACATGGCAGACTGCCGAGGAGACTGGCGGGAGCGCTCAGAGGACAGCTGCTGGGGTGGGAGTGTGTCTCATCCCCAGGGGCATGGCTGGCACTGCCCTCAGGGGTGACGAGAGCACGGCCCTCCGTGGAGGGGCCCAAGTCCCCTGAGTTTAAGCCTCTAGGCTGGTGCCTACGAGTCTACCCACACTCAGATCTTCAGCCGGAGCCTGGGGCCCGGAGCCTGGGGCCCGGCACTGCCTCTCCCGGAGGAAGGACAGCCCCTCAGCCCCATCCGGAGGGAGCAGCCTCACCTGCTCTGGGGTGCGAACACTGGGCTCTGCCTCCTTCCCACACAGACAGCCCACCCTCGCAGGAGTCCGCGCCCTCCCGCCAGCCCAGGCAGACGCCAGGCCCCTCACCCAGCCAGGCTGAGGGAAGTGCTGGGAGAGGGCCTCAGGGGAGTGGCCAGTTGCCCTGGGGCACACTTAGACACCCCAATAGCCCTCCTTGCTCCAGAACACCTTACAGCCCCCGAGCAGTGCCCACGTGGAGCTCAAGGAGATGCTGCAGCCAGGAGAGCGGAGTGCGAGGCCTGGCTCCCCCTCTCCTCGCTGCTCAGCCTGCACTTTGCTGAGATGAGAACAGCTCGTCAGGGGGCTGGGCCGCCATTTCTAAACCGTTTCTGCGCACATCTGCCGAGGACACAGGGGGGAGCTGCTGGGTGGGAGTGTGGGCCCCCCTTCGCAGTCACACAGTGCGGGCGCTCAGCTCCTAGCGCCTCACCTCTGCGCCTGTCTCCTAGGCACAGACTGTCTGTCTTGACTAATCGCAGGCTGTGTAGGAAAGGCCTGGCGTGTAGCGGGTGTGCAAGCACACCCACCCCCTCCCACCCCCCGGGGGCACGAGCTGTGTGAGTTGGTGCCTGCCCCAGGGCATTCACACGTAATGGAGGGTAAGTCCTTTTTTATTTAATACTAGAGGCCCAGTGCATGAAATTTGTGTATGGGGTTGGGGGGTGTCCCTCAGCCCAGCCTGCACCCTCTCCAATCTGGACCCTTCGAGGGATGTTAAACTGCCTGTCGGGATTCCCTCTCACAAGCCAGGACTGCTGGCTCCCAACTGCTCGCCTGCCTGCCTTCCTGATTGCCCCTAACCGCTTCCGCCTGCCAGCCTGATCACCCTTAACCACTCCCATGCCAGCCTGATTGATGTCTAACTGCTCCCCTGCCAGCCTGTTTGCCCCCAACTTCCCTCCTCTGCAGGCTTGGACATACCTAACTGCCCTCCCTCCCCTGCAGGTTTGATCTCCTCCAGTTGCCCTCTCTTGCAGGCCTGGTCCCTCTCAACTGCCCTCCCCGGCTGGCCATCTTGTGGTGGCCATCTTGTGTCCACTTGGGGGCAGAATATTTGACCACATGGGGGCAGCCATCTTGTGTGTTGGGGTGATGCTCTATCTGCATATTACTCTTTTTTTAGATAGGATGGAGCCTGGTGCATGGGTGGGGGCCAGCTGGTTTGCCCTGAAGGGTGTCCCGGATCAGGGTGGGGGTTCCCTTGGGGTGTGGGGTGGCCTGGGCGAGGAGCCTGTGGTGGTTTGCAGGCCGGCCACGCCCCCCAGCGACCCAGGAGGCCCTGGTATCTGGGGTTTATTCACCTTCTACAACTGAAACTTTGTAG